AAAGTATTGTCCATCGCTGGCCACTACTTTTTCCCATCTTTCAGGCAGCGTACGAATCTCGCGTTGAAAAAACTGATCATCTTTTGAAGCGATCCACGAATCGATCCAATTTCTTACTTCTTCATAAGTCCGGAAGTGCTGATCAACTAGGTCGTGTGCCATTGATCGAAACAAGTGATAGTTAGAGGGAGCAACGTCTGGAGAATACGGCAGGTGGGGTAGGACTTCCCATTTCAACGTTTCCAAGTATGTCTTGACCACTTTCGTAACATAGGGTCGAGCATTGTCATGCTGCAAAATCACTTTATCGTGTCTCTCGTTGTATTGCGGCCGTTTGTCTTTCAATGCTCGTCTCAAACGCATTAATTGCGTTCGATAACGATCGCCTGTAATTGTTTTAGTCGGTTTTAATAGCTCATAATAAACTACGCCGAGCTGGTCCCACCAAATGCAGAGTATGACTTTGGAGCCGTGAATATCCGGTTTGGCCGTCAACGTGGAAGCATAGTCGGGGTATGCCCATGATTTTCAGTGCTTGGGATTATTGTGATGAACCCATTTTTCGTCCCCAGTCACAATGCGATGCAGAAATCCCTTCCGTCTTTGCCTTTCAAGCAACTGTTCACAAACAAACAAACGCCGTTTAACGTCTTTCGGTTTCAACTCGTACGGCACCCAATTTCCTTGCTTCTGAATCATTCCCATGTCTGAGGCGTTTTGAAATTGCTTGTTGAGTCATTCCCAATGATCATGCCAATTCTTCTTGACTTTGACACGAGTCTTCATTAAGTAATGCCTCCAATTCTGCATCTTCGAAAACCTCTCTTCCACCGCTATGCCGGTCTTCGACGTGAAAATCACCGTTCTTGGAGCGTTGAAACCACTCACGACACGTTCTTTCACTAATAGCGACCTCACCATAAGTATTTGAGAGCATTCGATGAGCCTCAGCTGCAGATTTCTTCATATTGAAGCAGAAAATTAAAACCTCTCGCAAATGACGAGAATTTGGCTCGTAAACTGATATTTTCAATCGAGAATAACTTTATGATGCAGACACAAATCGACTGATGTTTCTATGGGGTTATGTTGACAGATGCCCAAGTTTATTGCATGACATCTATGATCTATTTACTTCGACCACTACTTACCGCTAAAGCCATCTATAGGAAAACGGCGGAAGCAAAGTTGTACACCTAATAATTATAACAGTTTATTTTCTTTTGTATCATTTAACGTTAATCTGGTTAATTTTCAGAAAATATGGCCTAGTCCGTATTGTTTTAAAATACATGGCCAAATTTATCAAATTATTACAGCGTTATATGCTGAGCAAAATGAGAATCCAACTTATGGACAACTTTTTATTGTTGACTCAAATGAAGCAATAGATTATCGTCTTAATAAAAATTCCTCTTTAGATTATGAGATTGTAACAGAACTTGAGCATCTAATACGAGAATGTAATGTATTTGCTCAATCGTATTAAATGATGAATGAAGAATTAGAAGATCAACAATAATTAGAAATCGAATCTGGTGAGCCCTTACTTGAATTACAATTAGTATTTACATTAAAACCAGGAATGGATAAACGTAGATATAATGCTCAGCGAACAAATGAAGTTGCTGCGGTTTTTAAAACGACTTCTAAGGGACAAATTCCTGATTCCAATGTTACAATACGTAACAGAAATACTAAAATCTTATAAAGGGTTAGCACTATGGATCCAAATGAACCTTGGATATATCTATTATTTTATCCATATGGAATTAGAGGATGGCATTATAATTTAATGAAATTAAATAGTATTAGAAGAATAACTAGAGCACAATATGTTAAATATCGTATGGCCATTCGTAATGAATTTAACATTCCCTTACTAGGCCGTCATTTGTTTCAACAATGGCTTGTAGATAATTATATAAAAATTGAAAAGTATAGAATAAATTATTGCAAAGCTCATCAAAAAGTATTACGTGTTGAAACATATCAAGGTTTAATAAATTATATGCAAAATAAGGTAAATAGTATAAATGGCTGTGTTGGAAAAATGGTTATACTTCCTTCTTTATTTAATGGATCACCACGTAATATGTTACAAAATTATCAAGATGCAATGGCAATTGTTAATAAATTTGATAAACCAGACCTTTTCATTACTATGACCTGTGTTGCCGCGCCAGATTGTTTAAAGGCAGTGATACGAGGATATCGGAACACTCTTATCAGAAGGATCCGAGTTAGGGATGGTAGTAGACTCGGACTGCGGCCTTTTCGGGTCGTAAATCCGAACTGAGAAACCCGAGCAGCACTCGTAACAAATCTACGAGCACGAAGATAAAACAAAGGCCTGCCCTTCCGGACTCAACGGCCAGCAATATGCCTCGGTCCTGAGAACTGTGGAGAAACACACGAAAGCGCTGAGCTCTATCACACTGGAAGCGACCGAGTCGCTCCTGGGCGACTAGCCAAAGTCCTGTGGACGCTTGGAACGAGAGCTCAAAGAAGCGATCACGTCGCTCTTGAAATTGCCAAGATCCTCGACGGATACTTGGAAAGAGAGAGTTCGCGAAAAGCTCCAAAGGAGACGGTCACGCCGCTCCTGATAGCCAAGGTCCTCGACGGACGCTTGGAAAAAGAGAGTTCACCCGTTCTACACCGAGGTGACTAAGCCCGCTCTTGAATCGTGGCAACGCAGAGAACTCAAAGCTAAACAGTCGACTTTAACTATAAAGCCTCAACCCAGCAGGGTATATCGGCACCGCCTTCAACTAGAGTGTATATTGCAGTGGTTCGAATCTATATTACACCCCAAAACTGCACTAGGAAAGCCTAGACCAGGTCGGTAAAGATAAACGCTACAAGACCAGATCAGACCAGACACCAGATTGCCACAATCGGCGTTGGGACATGCGAAGGCGCGCGGCTCGCTATCGCGCTCGGTTATATCACCCGGGCGGCCGATTTTAGCTGCGAGCAGCGGAATCGATGAGTGTATCGCGCAGCGGCCGCGAACGTCACTAGTAGATACTCGCGGGGCGCCGGCGGGCGGGTCATGTGCTCGCATGCGAGAAACCGATGGGTGTTAAGCCGTCCACCATGCAGCACAGGCTCGATGATTATAATACTACTACGCAGCGTTACACTCACAGTACGGTGATAGTGATCGAATTTTGCTACTTGTGCGTGTCCGAACAACCTATAATCCAAAATGGTGTGAAACTGAGGAAAATCTTTTATCTGGTCAACAAGCTTCCGACAGACCTGATATTAGTGCTCGAGTTTTTAATATTAAAAAGGATTATTTAATCAATTTCATCGTTAAGAAAAAAATTTTTGGCGATATAACACATCACTCGATAAGTTCGTAGGATGACATATAAATGGTGCTACTATTAACAAATCCACTATTAACATATCCATTTTTAGGAAGTACTAACCTTCAAATGATACGTGTCAAAATTTTATGATAATCTGACGTTTAGTTCACAAGTTACAGTGGTTTTAGTGACGCACGACGTCGACTCGTTTTGTGGACTAGTGAGGTGATTTTAAAATCGATTATAAAAAAATTGAACAATTAACAAAATTTATTTAAATTAAGATAACAGGCAGTACGGTACAACGGCGCGATTTAAAAAATGACGGATTACAGTTACGCGATGCATGTGTATGTGTGTGTGTATGTGTGTGATGCAGTCGCCCGGCAAGCGAAAGACCCGGGTTCGTTCGATTCTCGGTCTAGCGACTACCGCGCTCTCGATATTTTTCTCTCTTCGGAACGAAAATAAGATGCAGGTCCTGAACGCACGGCGTCCCGTCGCCACTTAATACGCCCTCCTTCTTTCATGGTGGATCCCCCTTCGGCGCGTTACAAAAACGTATCCAAGTGCCCGGGGGCAGCCAAAATATGGCGTCGACCCCGGGGTTTATTTGTATGATTTGCACCGGATAACGAGAGGCAACGATGGAGGCCGGCATACATGGACAGCAGGTCTTAAAGGATAGCAACCTTTGACTTTGAGAGACCTCCAGCTTGTACCACTAGGTACAAATAACAATGTCTCTCTCTGTAGTCGCCGTGCGCTCGGAATAGCACTAGAGATGTCGCTTCCGAACGACATCTCTTAACGTTATCTAGGGAGAGGAGAATGTTGTGAGCGTGGAGCGTCAGGTAGCTCAGTGGTCTAGAGCAGTCGCCCGGCAAGCGAAAGACCCGGGTTCGATTCCCGGTCTTAGCGACTAACCGCGCTCTCGATATTTTTCTCTCTTCGGAACGAAAATAAGATGCAGGTCCCGAACGCACGACGTCCCGTCGCCACATAGTACGCCCTTCTTCTTTCATGGTCTGTGATGTTCTGAATGAAGAGGAACGGAAAGGGAAGGAAAACGAATATAGAAAATTAGTCGGGTGAGGGGGAGCGAGAGTGGTATGGCGAGTTAAGAGAAGTGGACAGTTCAGAAAAAGAGACAGGTGAATAAGATATCGAGGGGAAAGGAGGGGTGGACGTACGTGTGGGGGAGAAGGAAGATGTGATAGGGAAGAACGTTGTAGGACGATGTATGGAGGTATGAATATGAGAGTCAGATCTGGTTGGAAATCAATATCTAATGAGATGTTAATGATGAACTCGGTGGTACTGAGCATTAGCTTCAGATGCTTCGGGATCTCTCGTTTCTCGAAGATCGACTCGAGCGAATTAAGATTTCTTTGCAAGGTGATATGGTTATAGTAATTATGGCCCACTGCAATCGGATTTCAATAAAGGGTGGAATTAATAAAATGGGGGTAGGGAAGGTAGAGAATAAAGAAAATAAACTTACTGGTGGTTTTGGGTGTTTCACACAAAAAAAGAACAATTGATGATAGTCTACATGGGTGTCCGCTTCCAGATGTCCAATATTTGATTGCGGAAGGTTGGCGAGATCCTACTGAATCTGCGTTCGGAAATCTCACCCTACGGGTAGAGCCGGGTGAATGGTGGTGGGGGCAGGATACCCTATGTGCGAATGGTTTCCGAACGGCACTGAAACGTATATAGTTAAGATTTGGTGGGAAAAAAGGTGAAGAGAACTAGTTTAAATTAGTGCCGGCAGTTCAGCAATAGAAAAATGACGAATAAAAATATTATTTCATGTGTTACGGCTGTTGGACTGGAATTAATAAAAATTGCTTTGGATACCTTACATACAGACAGTAACGATGATGAAGCAGATATGGTGATTGAAAAAGCAAACATTATTGAAATTTGGATTAGAGTTGGCAATCGAGGTTGCTATAAGGTTAGGGAACAACGTTATGTCAATGAAATTATACTAAGATTTAGTAATGAAGTGTTCCGTCAACATTTTCGTATGACCAGAACAACATATGAAAATCTCGAACGACGATTAGCTCCGGCATTGACGCGAATAGGAATGAAAGGAAGACCAACAATATCAGTTAGAACTCAGCTCTTATCATTCTCAGTCATTCGGCTTCTGGCAACCCCAGATTCTTTTCAGTAAGTAACAATTTCTGTGAATATATACATTAGATTATCTTATTAATAACATGTCTACTAACTATATACTATAGATAAGTATTATTAAATCTGTTGCAGATCGTTTCAATATAGGATAATCAATTTTACACAACTCTTTCTGTAGAATTGTGAATGCTTTAACTGATATAGCAAGTGATGTAATTGTATGGCCAAAAAGAGATAGACTTACTGTTACCAAAAACAGATTTAATGAAATTGGTGTCCTTCCAGATATCATAGGAGCTATCGACGGTTCACACATACCTATCGTTGCTCCACATGTAAATTTATTTCATTTCTATGCTATTTTGATTATTTTCTTTTTTCTAATAACAGAATTTATATTATTTTCTTGTTCTTGTCTATTTAGTTTCAATCTGAGTTATGTAGAACCAGAAAATGCCAATATGCCCTGACTTTGCAAGCAGTTTGTGATGCAGATTTAGTCTTTACAAATTGTTTTATGGGATTTCCGGGTTCTGTAAATGATTGCAGGATATTTAGAAATTCTGATTTATGGATGTCTGTACAAGAGAATCGTACAGATTTCTTCCCAGGAAATGAATATATTATTGCTGATAAAGCTACCCGGTATTGTCTTGATGCATTCCACCTTATATAAACAAAGGAAATTTGTCACAGGTTAGTCTTGTTAATTCCTTCTTTTTATTATTCACACTTGTATTAACTAAACAGCTGCTCTGTTATGTTTTTTCTTATATTTTCATATGTACATTCAGAGGCAGGTATGGTGTCCCTCGGCGATGTCGTATACGCTTGTAAAACAATCGAAAGCGATGACAGGCATATATGCATACGCATATGGGCGTACTGTACAGCGCGAGAGAAGCGAAGAAGGAGAAATGGTGGGAGACATTCCGAAGTTGCATCCTTATCGCACGTCGCACGATCGAGATAGAAAGCATTACCAGATAGTGGTACGGTTAATGGTGTCGTCAATAGCTGTCTCACTCACTCTACGCTTGAATGCAAGGAATATGAGTGAGACAGCTATAGAGACACCGCGCTGTCTCTATAGGTATCTCGCTCACTCTAATAGCCATGTATCGCGCTTTCCTCTTTTCTCCTTAGCAGAAATGCCGATTGAGGAGGGAATCCTGTCTGTAGGCTAGAAAAATAAGCTATTTTCACGAATTTTTTTTCGGGAACTAAGCAGACGATTGATTTCAAACTTGATAGAAATAATAATATATATTTTATTGATGAGAATGAATTTTTATAGCGTTATATGAATAATAATAATGTAGCAAATACACAAAAAATAACGTGACATGTTTAAACGCGCGCCGTTTCACGGTTTCTATAAAATCTTGAAATACAGTGGACTGGGACAAAAATGCAAGATAATTAATTAATTATTAATTAATAATTAATATTTAATAATTAATTACATTTAATATAATAATTAATTTAATATATAATTAATTAATTACTTCTGAAAAGACTGCGGGAAGGAGGGAGAATAAATGAACATCCTCCTATAAATTCTATTTAAAATGTAGGCTCCGCTCTTGAAAATGTAAAAAAAATTAGGAGACTTAATAATATTAAAAATTACAGTAATAATAACGAGACGCTATACAGCATCTCCTGAAACCAGAGAAAAATCTTTTTTTTGTATAAAATAGTCGATCGATCTATTTCAGCATGTAATTACATATTTATATATGTGTGTATATATATATATATATATATTAGTATATATATACATATATATTATTGGTATTTATATATTTATATATTTATAGTTACATATTTATATATGTAGTAACATATTTCCTTTCTTTTCTTGCTTGTTGATTTTGCTAAGAGATCGCGCTTTTCATTTGTTACTTTTTTTCCTATTACATCACTTATCGTGGTGTAGTAGCATCGAGTGAAAGCAAAAACGTATGAAAACTATGCCTGAAAATTTGTGTCCTGAGGTACAAGGTCCGAGGCAGTGGCAGGCGGGAAGAACAGTAGCAGAAATTGCTGCTGCTATTCCATGTTCTGCTGGAATTGTCCGACGATGAATACAGCGATTTAATGAAGGGGGTGATCATGCTTTGCATAATCACCGTCTTCAAAATCGTAGTCCTCGGAAGAGCGGGGCACAAGAAGACGAAGTGCTAGTCGCCGCAGTTAGTGAGCGACCTTTCGGCACTGCCCAGGAAGCCATCAACGCGGCAAATCTGCCAATAGCGCAAAGGACCGCCTAGCGACGTTTCAACAAAGCTGGGATTCACTGTTATCATCCAGTTCAAAAAATTCCGTTGACTCTCGGACATTGGGAGCAACGTGTCGCGTTCGCTTTGGAGAACCTGGTGAGGAGGCGTGAGGAGTGAGAGGCAACGATCTGGACCGATGAAAAGGTTTTTGTATCGTCTACCGATCACCAACCTCACGTATGGCGTCCAAGGGAACAAAGGTTGCATCCTAATTATGTTGTGCCCACTCACAGAAGTGGGAGGACTTCATGCGCAATGTGGGGCTGGATTTCCGGCACTGCATTGGTAGTTTTCGATGGTGCATGTTCGCCGTAGGCCTCCTCAAGCAAACGACGTGCTTCAGCTGCACTTTTTTTCAAGTTAAAGCAGAAAAGTAAAGCTTCCCGCAAATGCTGTTTATTTGGTACAAAACTCGACATCTTCGTTGTTAGAAAAAATATTTTTGCATTGCGATATGTGTTGGTATTACGACTGGTTATTATTAACAGATGTCCAAGCTATAAAAAAACACAACTTCAGACATGTATGTCGACTACATGTGTCGTTAGCGCCATCCATATGTGAAACCCGAAAACTTACTATATGGGCTGAAAAGTCTTTGGCTTAACAATGAAGAAACGATTTTTTTAATGAAAAAAGTGTTTTATTCCTCGACATAATCTCCATTTAGAGTAATGCACTTAGTGTAACGGTCCGCTAACATTTCGATGTCGGTCTTATAGTGCTCGGTGTCAAGTCCCTCAAAATAGGCATTTGTTTCCAACTTGACCTCCTCATTCGAGTAAAATCTTTTACCAGCGAGCCACTGCTTCAGTCGGGGAAAAAGGAAATAGTCGCTGGGGGCCAGGTCTGAAGAATACGGGGGATGTGGGACCAATTCATAGCGCAATTTCTTTAATTTATCGGTCGTATCGCGAGCCGAGTGAGCTGGAGCATTGTCTTAGTGAAACAAAATTTTTTTCTTTGCCAAATGTGGCCGTTTGACCTTGACCTCGTCGTCCAATCGATCCAGTAATGTACAGTAATATTCTTTATTGATAGTTTTACCATGTTCAAGATAATCAATGAATATTATGTTATGCGCATCCCAAAAAATACTGCCGGCTGATTGTTGTGTCTTCGGGCGCTTCGGACGGCTTTCACCAGGCAATAACCACTCCGCTGACTGCCGATTGGACTCCGGTGTGTAGTGATGGATCCATATTTCATCCATTGTGACAAATCGACGCAAAAACTCCTTCTTATTGCGGTTAAACAGGGCCAGATTTTGCTTTGAAAGTCGAACACGTTCCGCTTTTTGCTCAATTGTCAAAAAACGCGGCACTCAACGCGCGCAAAGCTTTTTCATGTGTAAATATTCATGAATGATATAACCAACGCGTTCCTTTGAGATGCCTATGATATTAGCTAGCTCACTCAATTTCATTTTGCGGTCATTCAACACGATTTCACTGATTTTCTGGATGTTTTCTGGAGTAACTGCCTCATTTGGCCTTCCTGAACGTGGTGCATCATTTGTACTCGTACGATTACGATGAAACTCAGCAAACCAATATTTGATGGTTGAATTCGGTGGGGTAGATGTGCCGTAACATTTATCAAGCCATGCCTTTGCTTCAATAGTGTTTTTTCCCATCAGGAAGCAATGTTTAATCAAAACACGAAATTCACTTTTTTCCATAGTAAAGATAAATTCAGAGGTAACGTTACTTCGAAAGCTATAACTTGTACAGGAGTCAACGAAATATCATGAAATTTTTACAGCATCTAAGTTAAGGTTGGTACTCTATAGGAAATATAAGGATTTTTAGTTTGTGGCGCCATCTATATGTCAGGCCAAAGACTTTTCAACCCATGTAGTAGTTGCGCACCTAATATAATATATGTTAAATTTACGTCATTTCGACGTCCTTTCCACCAAATATCAGAAACTTAATAGTTTACTCCAATAAAATATTAAAAATATTTAAAACATAGAACGTAACAATTTAATACAAAGAAATGAAGTTCTAAACAATTTTATTTATTTTCGAAAACTGACGGTCGGGACCCGATTTCGACCTCATTGACATCAATTCGACATTGATTCGACATTAATGTTCTCACTGAGTTGTTAACTGTCCTTATAATTATAAAAATAAAAATAATATTAGGAGTACAAATAAGTTTCAGCCGTTGTCTCAAAAATTAGGAATTTATTGTGAAAGAACGGTACATTACGTTTTATTAAAAATATTGTCCATCACTAGCCACTACTTTTTCCCATCTTTCTGGCAGCATTCGGATATCACGTCAGAAGAATTCTTCATCTTTTGAGGCTATCCATGAATCGACCCAATTTTTAGTATCTTCATATGATGTAAAGCGCTGCTTAGACAGGCCATGTGCCATCGACCGGAACAAGTGATAATCGTAAGGGGCAATGTCTGGTGAATACGGCGGATAGGTTATGATTTCCCAATTAAGTGTTTCCAAATAGGTTTTGACCGGTTTTGCAACATGTGGCCGAGCGTTGTCATGTAGGAGAATAATTTTGTTGTGTCTGGAGTAGTAATGGGCGCGTTTTTCCTTGAGTGCTCGGCTCAATTTCATTAATTGTGTTCGGTAGAGAGCTCCAGTAATGGTTTCGCTCGGTTTGAGCAACTCATAATACACGACACCAAATACACAGCATGAGTTTTTCCCATGAATATTCGGTTTGGCTGTCGATGTTGAAGCATGGTCAGGTGGTCTCCATGATTTTCTCTTCTTTGGGTTATCGTAGTGGATCCATTTTTCATCACCAGTGACTATACGATGTAAAAAAACCCTTTCTTTTATTCCTGGTAAGCAGCATTTCACACATGCAAAATCGGCGTTCAACGTCTCTCGGCTTCAGTTCATATGGAATCCACTTTCCTTGTTTTTGAATAATTCCCAACGATTTTAAACGATGTGAAATTGCTTATTGAATCACTTCTAATGTAAGTGCAAGTTCTTACGTTTGGCACGAATCTTCCTCCAATAATGCTTCCAATTCCGTGTCTTCGTACACTTTCGGCCTTCCACTACGTACTTTGTCTTCCACGTCAAATTCACCGTTTTTAAACTTTTGAAACCACTCACGACAACTTCTCTCACTTAAAGCAGTCTCACCATATGCTTCTACAAGCAATCGATGCGCCTCAGCTGCAGATTTCTTTAAATTAAAGAAGTAAATCAAAAGTTCCCGCAAATGACACTTATTCGGCACAAAACTTGACATTTTCGCAGGAAAAAAATTATGTGATGCTGATACGGAGTCACTAATACTTCAAGGTTATGTTGTCCAAACTTACGATATTACGTTTTACATCTGACAATTTCAACATAACCTTCTGGTGGGGCCATCTTTTGTCAAACGGCGGAAACCTATTTATACTCCTAATATTATAATCTTTAGTGAAAATATTGTGAAAATATTAAATCTTATAAGAAAGCCGCATATCAGACTAAGGGATAGTCTACAACACGATCGCAGTTACTTTTTAAACTTGTAAACTTTTTAAACTAATTTGTAAATCGATCATGCATTAAATTGACGATTTCATTAAGAGTTCATTTTTCACAAAGTTACGCGAAAGAAATAAGTACATAATCGATAACAGACTAATGCTATGACTTTATATGTAACTATGATTACATTGTAGATGACTTTTAAAGATAAAAATTTGTAACGAGGCGCGAATGCACCTCGTTACTACTAGCCCAACCGACCATTTGTCGGGCCGAAGAACGGCGCTTTGCGTCACCCCTAAACAAGCGCAATTATCGCGCGCCGCCGTTATCTCGCGCCGTCGCTATCGCGCGCCGCTGCGATCACGTGCCGCCGCTAGCGCGCGCGGCCGTTATCACGCGCCGTCGCCATGCCTCGCGCCGATTGGCGCGCCGCTCGATCGCCGCCGTATCAATCATAGAGAATACGACTATAAAATGGCGGCGATCGAGCTTCTCAGGACCAGACCGATCCGTACCGTTATTCGATCTAGACGCTTCATGCCAATAGTGAGAATATCCAGACCGTTTCGCTCTGCCTTCCGCTTTCCGAATACCCGACCAGCGACTAAGCAAACGGGATTGTGCGTCCGCAGTCTCGATCGAGCGTGCTCGATACTTGGCCGTCTCCTGTCTTCTTGGGCTCGTGCGTGCGCGTGCTCAGTCGAGCGTACTCGGCAGTCTCTAGCCGCGGCAGTCTTTAGGGCGGCGGATAAGGCAGTCTCTAACCTTATCCGCCGCCCTGAGTCAGGGGTTTGTCCGTCGGCGAACTCCGCTGAGCGTACTCAGCCTCTGGGCGATCCGTCTAGCGACCAAGGACCCGGGACGGTGCGTTCGCCGCCTCCGCTGAGTGTCTGCAGTACTTGGTCGTTTTCCTCCGCGAATGTAGGGAAAAGGGAAGGTGCGTGCGCCTTCTCTGTCGAGAGTCCTCGGCCCCGACGGCAGTGCTGTCAGGTGCAATATATTGCGACGCTACAGCGCATGCGTGAGATGACGTAGGAGCTCTATGCCAATGACGGCAATAAAGCGCATCGCAGGGTCCATGAAGGGGCCCGCGCTATCCGATCAGCTGTCTTCCAGGCTCCAGTGTAATTTTCCCGTGCTTCTTGCGCGAGTGCCTTATCTTAGATTATATTGTTCAGTGGATACTAAATATCAGTTATATTAACATTATAATTCCAGTGGATACTAAGTAACAATTACGTTACATTACCATTATAATTTTTCACTCAACTATGTAACTGTTACATAATATTTATTTATATTAGACTCATATTAGACTATAGATTGAGAATTACTATCAGATCAATTAAAATAACCACGATTTAGATTATCTAATTTACTAAATACTCGATTGCAATTCTCAATGCATAGTATAATATGGGCGCTATAATACCTTGAAAAAGATACGATACTGAGACTTTCACTCAAACAGGGAACTCCTACGTCATCTCACGCATGCGCTGTAGCGTCGCAATATATTGCACCTGACAGCACTGCCCGACGGACGAAATCCTTGCGCGTCTTCCGCGACTCGCGTGCGTGCGTTCGACCGAGAGTCAACGGCACGCGAGAGGCACGCGAGTCAAAATCTCCGATCCGGCGACCATCTTTACGCGAGTGATTGCGAGCCGAGTATTGGGCGATAATTGTCCGAGACGCCCAGCATCGCGAGGCGAGACCGACCACCGCGCCGTTATCGCTGTCACCGTCTACACGCGTCGCGCAATATGCCCCGCCTCCCGCGCGGCCTACCCGTCCGTATACGCGCGTGTACCGCACACCGCACCGCACTGTACCGTACCGACGCGCCTAATAAACGTAACCCGCAACAACGTCTTCGAGGCCGAGCTCTTGTATATAACTAAGCATCGAATAAAGCTAATTTATTTATTTTGTTACTATCAACCGTCTCGCTGCTTTCCTCCTCACCGAACCCGGACTCCGACGAGCCTTATCCGCGCGAAACGCGTAGCAACGACCGAAACGCGGAGTTCGGCCGTTACAAATTTGATCTTACATAAATAATATTAGTGTAGATTTCTATTATGTAATTTCTATTAGCAGATCTTGGACATGAACTTAGCTGTTAACTAGTTTAATTAGTTAATTAGCTTAGTTAATTAGCTAGTTAACTAATAATTTCTATAATATAATCATTACTAGGATGTGGCTATCACAGATTTTCTTTAAAGTAAACTTCATATTTAAAATTTTCTTATTGGGCAAAACGCTAACAAAACAAATACAATTACAGTCTATACATACATATTAGTTTTTATAACTTGTCAATGAGTTTTTTTATCATTTTCTTGTATGCATCAATTGCTCAATCAGATATTGCTATCATCTCCTTATAGCGTTGTTCCCTCGCTTCTTCCCTGTATTTAACATCTTCATGTAAAGTAGCAGACCATTCACCCAGCTCTCTCTGAAATCTCGTTTTTCTTACTTTCTTTTTTCTATCACTGTCATCTTTACTATTTTCCGTGTCACTATCTTGAGATGTAAAAGTTAATGGTCGCTTCTTCAAACTGGAGGCCAAAGCTACAGGTTGCATACATGGTTTATCTCCTAATATTTCCTCAAATTCATTGAAAAATTTACTAGTTATTGGGCTATTTCCTGATTGCTTATTGTGATCTTTCACTTTCACATATTTCTTGCGCAATTCTTTGAATTTGTTTTCACATTGTATACCAGTGTATAACCATTGACTGTTCTCATTTTGAAGAACAATGGCAATTTTTTTCCACACTTCTGATGACTTGCATTTTCCATTTTTAAAATTATTTTCATATTCCTTCCAGGCATAAATCAATCGCCTTATGGCGTTATCATCTTTCCAAGATGCTGTAACATTGCAAAAATAGACATTTCAATTTTCATGATAAATATTTCAGAGTTATGCCATTATCAGAAGCAAAAAAATAGCATGATAAAATTGTATACCATGCTGGGTTGATGACTGAGTAGCGAGACTTGTAGATCCACTATTAGGCTCAAAATTAAAGTTCTCAGGTTCATTATTGTCTGTAATTACTTGCAAGTTGAGAAACGTTAGAAATTCCTCCGAAACAGATATTGTGATTACATTTCCTTCTGTGAAAAGGAAAGCTCTTATAAGTATTTAATTAATAAATTACAAATTAATGTTTATAGAATAAATAAGGCTATACATGCTTTTGCTATGTAAATATATTTAACTTTTTATTTTATATTGCTACTTTTGAAAATGAAAGGGCAGAAAGTATGTCAGAAGAAGTCTAAATTAATTACTGTAAAGAAGAACTTGAGTAAAGTAACCACAGAAAAATTCTTAAATTAAATATTTTTAAGAAATGTCATTGAAAAAAAGCAGCAATTACAATTTATCACTCACTTGTTACATCACATACTAACAAAGATCCTTGAGAGTCGTATATGGATTGATTATTTTTATCAGTAGATAATATATGTTTACCACGTATTAATTTCACGTTTTCCATTGTTGATTAATAGCGTTTACCATTTCATTAATCTCTATGTATCTCTATGAACATTCACACGTTATAACGCTACTTGATCTGTTTCTTTTAGCTATATCGTTCAACTAGTGCAATAAGATAAATAAGAAAAAAACAGATTTTTCTCATAATATTATACTAGTTCAGTATTGCATCTAAAAAAAACAGATCAGCTGTATATCCAGTGAGGAATGATTGATCGAAAAATCATCAAATTCATATCGATTTGCTCAAGCATCGATTTCAGTGACAAATTTTGATTGAATTGACGTCGATGTGAATTTGATGATTTTTCAATTAATCATTCCTCACTGGATATTTTCAGTATACTTGCGCGCATGTCTAACCTAACCGAATTGGATCGAGTCACAAATAAAAACACTATTTAAAAATAGCGCCAAATGCATGAAGTTACCCAAATCTACCCTGAAATTTCAGGGTGGAAAAATCTATTACCCGAGGTGCACCTAATAGAGTTTTCGAACGACTCCACCGTTGTCACTTGGGTGTAACACAAATGTTTCCGAACGACACAGGATGCACCTGAGTGCACCTGAGTAAAATTTCCGAACGCAGTCTGAGAGTGGTAAATTCGTAGAAAAACGCCGAGCACTTGCCACAATTGAGTCACGCTCTATTACACTTGTCGAGAGAGAAAAAACACAGAGGTATCGAAGTGTCTCTATACTCGTTGAAAAAAGGAATAAGGTCCAGGAGTAGTAGAAGTATATCTCTGGAGACGAAAATGTCGCGGTTTTTATACGGATGATCGGAGGCAAGAGCCACTAGGCTGAACCTATCAGAGAGAGAAATGGGCTTTGGAAACAGGGTGGAACCCTGAGAGAAGCCCAATGATGACTACGTTTACACGGCTTCTAACTTCGACTTAATAACGCTAATGTTATAACTCCTACTAGGGTGACTAACACTAGGGTGAGTTGCGTTTACACATTTACGCTTATCTATTTGAAATAACTTAACAACCCAGATAGCCAAACCTGCGCGAGCAGATTTCGAACAAAGCCTGCTATCATAGTTTGATGGCAAATAGGCAACAAATTTAACGCAGAATTTGTTATATCAAATTATGCCGCCAATCTGCGATCAAATATGCGCCAGATCCTGTTGTCAGATATTTGACGGCAGATTTGTAGCAAAAACCGCGCAAGACTTGCAGTAATTTGACGGCAGATTGGCGACAGAAACTGAGCAAACTCTACGCGCAGACTCTACGTGTAGTTTGGCAGCAGGACCTGCGCGGTTTCTGCTGACAATCTGCTCGCATGGCCTGTCATACAGGTCCTGTCGACAAAACACGAGCCTAATGAGGACACAGATGGCTATGGTTTTGATCTGGAGATCTGATCGAAATTGGCGTCAATCTGCGCGCATTCTATTAGTATTTTGCTTACTGGGAACTTTCGAGTGAGTCAAGGATTTCCATTAGTACCAATATAAAAGGACGAAAAATTAAATGATTGTGATTGTAGTCTGAATATAAAAGAATTAGAATATAAAAAGAATAATATATAAATAAGTCAACAAATAAAGTGAACTTTTAGGTTATATTATGAATTTGAAAATTATAAAATATGTATATATCTATATAATAAAATTTATATAATAAAATATAATATTTAACTAAAAATGAAATTAAAATTTTAGGTTATTAATTTTGGAAAAAATTAATCATGGAGAATATGGAAAGTGTGCACTCGTTTATTACCATATATTTGAAAATAGTAGAAAATATGACGATGCAATATATATTATATATACGAAATATTTTGATTAAACAGCGAAAGCGTCAAAAAGAAATTATATCAGGTGTAGTAAAAAGAAATCCATTATTTTTGCATGAAATTGAAGGCTTTAATTACCATAGTTAGAATGATCCGATTTAGGTCAAATATGCGCCGTTTTGTTCGATAACTTGTTGCCATTTTGAAGGTAATTTCATTATGCCTCTCTCATAGAAGCCCTCGTCCCTATTGGCAAAAAATTGAGACAGTCGATTTTCACAAGCCTCTCTTGAAGCGAATTTTTCACCAGCAAAATTGTTCGCCTTCAAAGAAAACTGTTGCTCCGAACAGGAAGATATTCAAGGTTATTTGGAGAGGAGATATATGGCTAAAATAACTCGGCGGATTTTTCTGACGGAAATAGGGAAACTCCGATGATTAAAGCAGAGAGAAAAAAAGAGAAATGTGTGTGTGACGTCACTGTTCTCGGAGGGTCGCGGAACATGAACATTTGGTCGTATAACATAAAATCTAATCCGCCCTACTTGACAACGAATTCAGAGTACGCGGAGTCCGCAGGACGTAACAACATATTAGGTGTACAAATGAATAATTCAATTTTTTCAGCTACATTCACGCTTTATTTTAAAAGAAAGTAAATTAAATTGTTCAATAAAAGTAATCGGCGTTGCTTTCTTTAAGCTATAACTTTAAGCCATCTTTCAGGCAGCTGATGAATTCCATCTCGGAAAAATGTTACGTCTTTGGACACGATAAAGTCGTCAAGCCATTTTCGAATCTCATCCACTGATTGCATATCGGACAAGGCGTGTTGCATCGAGCGGAATAAGTGATAATCGGATGGAGCAATGTCTAGTGAATACGCCGGGTGCTGCAAGACGTCCCAGCCAAGACTCATTATGGTGTCTTTTGTATTGGAAGCAATGTGTGGCCTGGTGTTGTCATGCAACAATTTCACTGGACGTTCTCCTTTGCCAGTATACGGGCGTTTTCGTTCCAATTCTTGACTCAAACAGATTAATTGACGTTGGTAGCAGTCCGCAGTAACTGTTTCACCTGGTTCCAACAACTCATAATAAAGCACGCCTTTGATATCCCACCAAATGCAGAGAAGAATCTTCTTTCCGAAGCGATTGGGTTTTGCGACCGATGATGATTCGCCAGGATTTACCCTTGACTTTCTGCGTTTCAGATTGTCATAGAGTATCCATTTCTCATCGTCCGTAACGATTTTCCACAAGAAAGACTTTCGACGCTGCTTATTGAGAAGAGAAAGACACGCTGCCACTCGTTGATTTTTGTTGGTTTCAGTGAGTTCATGCGGAACCCACTTTCCTTCTTTCTGGATCTTTCCCATCTCATGTAGGCGTTTAGAAATCGTTTGCTGCGTTATGCCCAACTGTTCTGCAAGCTCTTTTTGTGTTTGTGAATTCTCAGCTAGCAGTTGTTCCAAATCATCATTATCGCACTTCGGAGGGGCTCCAAGGCGTTGTTTGTTGATTAGACTAAAATTACCGCTTTTAAACCGTTTAAACTAAAATGCGCACACATCGTACGATACAACACCTTCGCAGAGAAAGGAACAAATCGATTCGCACGCTCTTGCAGCATTTTTTCCTTGTTGAAATTCATAAAGAATGCAGTGTCGGATATGCACCTTATCTGTTGCCATTTTCGACTGTACTGAACTGAATACTTTTGAAGGTTATGTTGGGCCTTTCGTCAAACTATATGTTCTTTTTAATAGCTATATATCAACATTGCATAATCACAAAAGAGCGGGAAAATCTATTCAATTTAAAACTGATTTCATAATTACTTAAAATAATTTGGATTATTCATTTGTACACCTAATAGTGTCCGGAGTCTCAAAATACCGAACGTTGGTTATCATCTGTGCTATTGCTATGTATTTCTTAGTTACGCCTTGTTTTGCTTGAACAAACTTCATTATTTCTCCCACTATATTTCCCACTGTCTCGGCATACAAGCACTCAAGTCACGCTCGACACGTTTGTTTATATATTGTTTGTAAAATACATTACATTGTTTGTATACATTACATTGTTTATATATATTACATTGTTTGTATACATTACATTGTTTGTATACATTACATACAATACATATCGCGCACAGCGCGAGATACCATTTATGTCATAGAGATTGTATAGTCAGATTGCGTACATGTATGTACTTGTGTTTATTTCTCATTAAATATTTTCTTTTTCAAGACTTTACGAATCAATTGATTTGACGTCATTTTTATTGTCTATTCCATGACATTTTTTCCTGTCGATGATTTTTTATTTCATGAAGTATTGATTTTTCTGTTCCTTGTAAATATTTATTTCAATCATTTAATTACAATATGACTTAACGTTCAGAACAAGAACGAATTTCTCTTTTAATGATGCGAGGACAGATACGTGGAGTGACAGACAGAAATCATATAATGATGTAAAGCGCCTTTTCAATGAAACTTTCCGTCATGAAGACATTCCGATTTCAAAATCAATTGTCGAACAAACAATAAAGCGTTTCGAAGAAATTGGACTCGTGGAAAATCGTATACAATCAAGGAAATCTTCAACGACGAATCAGGAAAAGTCATTAGATGTTCTACAATCATTTGTAGAAGATCCAAATAATTCTATCCGTAGAACAGCTCAACAACACGAGATAAATCCTATGTCTGTATATAAAATATTAAAAAAAGAATAGATTCCATCCGTATAAACTTCATTTTGTGCAAGCACTAATTGATGATGACTTTGATTACCGTTTGAAATTCTGTGAGCTGATGATGGAAAGAATTTATATACAACCAGACTTTACATCGAATATAGTTTTTTTTGGACGAAGCAACAGTTGAACTAAATGGAACGATTAACGGACACAATCGTAGATTTTGGTCTGATGCAAATCCTGAATGGGTACTCCAAGCACAACATTCAGAGAAATTGACTGTTTGGGTAGATATTTTTAATGATGTTTTAATGATGTTATGATAGGTCCATTTTTTATTGATGGTAATCTGGCAGCAGCAAAATATGAGGACATGCTTAGAAATTAAGTTATTCTAGCGATCCACGCGATTGTAGGTGACAACTTGCAGCACATATGGTTTCAACAAGATAGTGCCGAACTATATTATGGAATAAATGTTCGAAATTTTTTAGATTTCTAATCAGTTATTCCTAATCAATAGATAGGAAGAAGAGAAGCGATAGAATGGCCGCCAAGATCACTTGGTTTTTCACTACTGAACTACTTTTTATGGGGCTTGCTGAAAAGTACAGTTTATAAAACGAAACCTCAAAATCTCGATGATCTCCGGCAAAGAATTCTTGATGAGACTGCACTTATCTGTAGGGATCATATAAGACATGCTGTCGCATCTTTTTTCAATCGATTAGGATTCTATTCCAATGCGTAATATTTCTACTAATGATGTTGTAAGAAAAAATGTCATGCGAGGATTTTTAAATTTGGTAAATCAACATTTGTTTCTAATAAGAAACATCGAGAAGTGTGTGTCTCCGATTTCAATAAAACTTGACATATTTGTAGAGTAACCAAAAATAAAAGACCCGTATTTTTTTATCGGCAATGGCTCAGGTTTAAGGAGTGAAACTACTCCACAAAGTTTCATTTTCTTTATGTTATCTCGATAATAATTGCAGATAGGAAAAAACTTTTTAAACAAAAATTGTACGGCTTTTAATGAAAAATAAAGTAGGCTTGATTAAGATTAAAAAATATTTTTAACAATTAACAAAATAACCATGTCAGGTTTAATTATTAATTTATCAAATTCATTATATGGAGAAAAAAGTTAGCATTTTTCATTCTAAATTCATTTATCTATATATTGTTTTATATTTAAATTATACGGACATTATATAATCGTATTTATAAGTGGAAGTGATATTATAAGCAAGGTAACGTACGTGAGTGCTTAATCGCTTCACCGTTACGCAAATAATAAATATCTATTTAACATATCACTCAATAAGTTCGTAGGATGAGATATAAATGGCGCTACTATTGACAAATCTATATGATTTTTAGGAAGTACTAACCTTTAAATAATACGTGTCAAAATTTCATGACAATCGGACGTTTAGTTCACAAATTATAGTGGTTCTAGTGACGCACGGCGTCGACTCATTTTAGCAAGGCTTCAGTTTCGGCAATCACTTCTTCATTGGAGCCAAATCTCTTTCCCTGGAGCTTTCCCTGCCGATTTGACTCTGGAGTGTAGTGATGGATCCATATTTCATCCATTGTCACATACCACATCAAAAAATCCTTTTTATTGCGCTGAAACAGCTCCAAACAGCCCGCTGAATCGACGCGTTGCTAAAACGAGTCGACGTCGTGCGTCACTAAAACCACTGTAACTTGTGAACTAAATGTCCGATTGTCATGAAATTTTGACACGTATCATTTGAAGATTAGTACTTCCTAAAAATCATATGGATTTGTCAATAGTAGCGCCATTTATATGTCATTCTACGAATTTATTGAGTGATGTGTTACATGTTTTGAACGTAAGTATAAAAATAATTCAAAACATAATACATAAACTTAATACATAAATATAAACCTTTGCTAACAATTCTATGAAATTCTGAGGTATTAGTAAAAGAAGATATGATAATGCGGTAAAAAGTCACCTTTATAAGCACGATTTAATCGAAAACAATTTCGACTTATTGATTTATGGAATTATGACAGGAGTGACATCAGTTACTATGCAAACATTTTTTTTATGATAATAATATTTAATATTTTTTATCTTTTAGTTTAATTATATAATATTATTTTCTTATTAAGACTTATTTTAAAACATCTATGCAAAAATTTTTTTTTATGATGATAATATTTAATACTTTTTATCTTTTAGTTTAATTATATAATATTATTTTCTTATTAAGACTTATTTTAAAACATCTATGCAATAAGACTGTACATACGTAACAGTATAAATACTTTGAAATGAGACGCCTTTTACCACTAAACATTAATATTTTACAGCAAGATATATCGATTAATATTTATGAAAAATTGAAAGATAATTTATTGAATATTATACAGCAACGTATGGAAGACACCGTATTTATTACGGTGCAAGAGATATATCTGGACATTGATAAATATTTAAAATTGTAATGTCTCTATATACGTACATGCATATGTCGGTATAAACACGCATGTATACCTTTCTCGTCTGTTATATTAAACACATTTAAAAACAATATGATGTGGAATATATGTTACAAATAAAAAAATGTTCGGCGGCCCGCGTTTATATGTTAATAGTTCTGAATTATTTTTTATACCTGTGATATTTTATATTGTTTTATATTGTATGTATTAAAAAAATATGTTCAAAAAATGTAAATTCGTCATTTGCATAGCAATATAGCGCTTAAACGTGCATGTTATTAAGCACTTTGCTCATGGTATCACTTTTACTTATAAATTGTAATGTCCGTATAATGTCCATATATTTAAATATAAAATATATTTAAATTTAAATATAAACAATACATAGATAAATGGATTCAGAGTGAAAAATGCTTTTCCCTCCATATAATAAATTTGATAAATTAATAATTAAGCCTGACTTGGTTATTTTATTAATTGTTAAAAATATTTTTTTATCTTAACCAAGCCTATTTTATTTTTCGTAAAAGACTATATAATTTTTGTTTAACAGGTTGACTGCCAACTACGAGATATCTCATAGGTTGTTTACTTGCCCAGGACACCTAACTACGAGTTATCTCGTCCCTTCATTACTTGCCATATTTGTACAGCTACGAGGAAACTCGTAGCATAACAGTGTAAATATGAATGGATGGCCTCAGGAAAGAGAAAAAAAAGTTTAAAAAAAAACTTTTTTAAACTTTTTGATTATTACTATGTACTATTATTAAAGTTTTTAATAATATAACATGATTAAATCAAATTGGCTCTTTAGACCGGAATCGTGAAAATTCGTGGCAGTCAACGTGTTAACACATTTTTTCCTATCTGCAATAATTATCGAGATAATATAAAGTGGATGAAACTTTATAAGGTAGTTTTATCCCTTAAACCTGAGCTATTGTCGATAACAAAATATGGATCTCTTATTTTTGGCTACTCTACAAATATGTCAAGTTTTATTGAAATCGGAAACACATATTTTGCGAATGTTCTTTGTAAGTTACATCGTATATACACCTATATAGAACAAAGTAATTATAAAGTTATTACAGTTACGCATCTATATATACGAATAAAGAATCCACTACGATATCTACTATAATAAGAAGGATGAGTTCACAAGTCCCCAGTGGCGCAATCGGTTAGCGCACGGTACTTATACGACAGTGATCTGTGAGCAATGCCGGGGTTGTGAGTTCGAGCCTCACCTGGGGAAATTTTTTTATTATTATAACTTTATTTTATTTTGTGTATATATACAATATCTGATGGAGAATTTATTTAATAATTATTAACAATATGCATTAAGCAATTGTTATTTGATAATGACATTATAAGTTATAGTTGCAAAGAAAAAATATTTGATAAAAAATTTTTTTTAATTTGAGCTGTTCATATCTGTTTCAAATAAAGATTACCTTAAACTTTTTTAATAGAATGTCATTTTTAATACAAAATGATCTTTTTTTGTGACATAAAATTAATGATTGTGAGATAAATATTAATACATAAAAATTTCTGTTACAAATACATTGGTATTTTTCAAATACATTGATTTATCAATATGTAAAGATTAATATTATTGATCAAATTGTTTCATTCTATGTCCACAGAATAATGAGATTATCAAAAAGTAAATACTTAATGAAATATTTTACATCTTAATACTGAAAAGTATCAGTAAATAAAATGTAAAATATCTTGAAATAATTGGAAAATACTTTTAAATGATTTTATTTCAGTACTTTTATATACATAACAATTTTCGAGAAATCAATTTATTAAAGAAAAAACATTCTATTTGAAACAATTATTCTATTTCAAAATAACCTTAATGTGACCTTACTAAATTAATGTGAAATTAAATTTTTAGCAAGTGTCTCTTTACAAATATATAACTTCAAAAAACAAAATTTTAATATTTCATTTAGTTTAAGAGATAATTAATCATATTTATTAACATGAGACACCCTATATATAGACCTTAATATTCAATATAACAATAAAGATGTTAAACATATATATTTTGTCTAAGCATTTAATAATGCTGAAGTTAATTTAATACTTAAATTTTAAGAAACTATAGATAATGTTATAACTAGTGTTACATATACTGCAAAAGGTATTTTTAAGATATATTTAATTGAAACAACCATGCTGACAATACCTAATTACTATAAACTAATCTGTAAAATCTTGGAAAAATCAGTATTGAAAAAATTATAAATCAAAATTATTGAACATAGAGAATTTATTTCCAAATAATCTGAAATCTATTACTGTTTGAGTTTATAATAAGCTAATGAACCCAATTCCTGTTCTTTAGATATTTGCATTCAAGACTTAAAAATAAGCTTTTCTACTCTATATTCATAAATTATATCAGATGAATCATGTCATAATAGAATGATATATATTCTCCAAATAATTGATAATGGCTTTATTGGTAAATTTCACTTATACGTATAGAACTAATAGCATCTAGATCCAATTAAAGCAATATATTGAAGATATTTTAATTCATAGACAGTTCAGTTTCCGGTATGTTTTCTTGGACAGTATTTGTCTCAACAGTTTTGCGATTTCTCCATGCCGTCATGTATGTTCTTGGATGAACAGGAAAGAACCCAGCAAGTCCTAACAATTCTGCAACAGGTGTGGATACATGTGATCCTTTTGCTAACCAATACTGTATTCTTTCGAAATTGAACGACACTAATTTCTCGTTGTATTTATTTGGAATAGGGTCATAGGTGCCGAGTTGTTCTATCGGCGGTTGTTTCTGGTGTGCTTTTAGCTGAAAAATAAAAAAAGATCGGTTCATTACTCTATGTAAAATTTTGTATTATTATTATTTATATTATTATTATTTATATTATTTATTATTTCATTCCTCGAAACATTAATGTAAACATTCACTTCTTAGTTCCTTACAAATAACTTATAAGTAAACAACATAGTTGAGAGAAAGAAATCTACATCAAGTTCTACAATGTTGATTAATTTAACGTACATTCATTACAATAAGATGATAAAACGGCCTGTTGGCACAGCCATAACGAACGAAACGTATCGATGTCTTGAATCGTCCAACAATACCTGTACCAGATGAAGGATGCAGAGGAAATCGAGAAATGTGTGGCATGTTTGTTCGACTACTTGTTTTCAATAGATGACAAATGAGGTTAGAAAAAATCATGGACATAGGAAGAAAGGCCAGGCAACAGAAAATAGGAACAAGGAAAATAAGGAATAGGAACAAGGAATTCCAATGGTCTGTTCTTTGTAGCTGCACTGTTGAACTGGTGCAATAAGTTAAAGTGAGACAAATATAGGTTTTTCCGTTCTAGCTTATTGCACCAGTTCAGCAGTGCAGCTACAAAGAACAGACCACACATACCAAAAATCATAGGCCGGTATTCATAGGCCGTGTTCCAAAATTCACTGCTAGTATTGAAAATATATAGTTTGTGTCACGCAAACTATAACTTTTCAGCGCTGGCAGTGAATTTTGGAACACGGCCTACGAATACTACGAAGCAGCCGATATAATTCGAACGTTCTGATTGGATGATTTTTATCGCCTTAGCATCATTGAGTACATTGGGTGCATTCAGTACTAAGCCCTAGATTATCAAAGAAGCGCAACCGGTGGCGAGCTTGGTGATTGGCTATCCGCGGCGCCAATAAAAGTCACGGATTTCAGGCCCACAGCTGATTTATATGATTATACGTAGTATTGGATATTTATCATCGTTATTGAAATGAGTTAGTAAATAAACAATGTGTGTGAACACAAAAGTGTGTGAAGTATTGGGGTGTGCAACAACAGAATATGAAAGAATATGTGTGCACAACTTTCCTAAAAATGTGGAACAGCGGAATACTTGGATAGCTTGGATTATTCGTAAACGACCTGGATGGATTCTGAAGACTAATAGCAGAATTTGTGAGATATTTTATATGAATAATAAAATATTGAAACATGTTTTCAGATGATATGTGTATCATGTATATTCTATTTTATTGCAATTGCATTTTGTTCCTGATTATGTATACACAAGAGGAAATAAAAGTCGAAAGCTGAAAATATCTGCTTTTCTTTCATTGCAAGTAAAAGAAATTAAAGATAATGAAAATCAATGTAATAACGTACGAAGATTTCGACAAACTCTACAATGTTTGAAATATGTAACAAATATTTTCATTAGAAATGACAAAAAAGAGAATGATTATGTATACTATTCAAAAGCATTACCATATGATCAAGTAAGCATTAGATTTTATGCCATATTATTTGTGCTGCAATATTATATATGTCTTTTGTTCCAAATAATGTTTTTTTTTTCAGAGCACTGCATCCTTTCAGCAGGCACAGGACTGCTCAGCAATAGAAAATACTCATAAAGAGGAAGATTTACAACAAAGCGTAAAATATGTGGAAGATATACATAGTGATATTATATGCATACACAATATTATCGATGATGAATATATATCTTGTTCAACTTCACCAACCACACCGTCATCACCATTTCTAGTGGTGATGAGTAAGATAACCGAATCATCAACTTTATTGCAAGAGAACATAATGATTGAGAAAGAATTTGGCAATGATCATAATAGTGATACCAGTGTTAAGATAAAAGATGGGTTTGTTATACTGATGGATTTTTTATGTTTGTTAAAGATTGTGGTTCACTTTATATATATATATGTGTGTGTGTGTGTGTATATTCTTTTTTAGTTGAATGAAGTAATTGCTAATCTACAGGACAGCAACAACGAAGAATTTCTAAGAATAAAATTTATTTTGTGTTATTATAAGTTTAAAGTTCAATGTTATATAAACATGTTATATGAACATAAGTTATATATATTTCAGTGTTATATATAAAAGGTTGGAATAAAAGTAAAATAAATATATTTTTTACTATTGTCATTTATTTCAAAGACACTATAAAATAGAAGAAATATAAAAGTTATAAATGATTACAAGATTCGTAATTCCCAAATTATATAACTCATTTCAGGTTGATTCTAATGTTAAAACTATAATAAATATATCTGAGAGTGATCAAAGAGAATATACCTGGCATATAGATACTTTGTTTACTCAACGGATCAGCTGTGGGCCTTACATGCGGACGGGAATTATGGAGGGGGTAACGGTTGCGCTTCTTTGATAATCTAGGGGTGTGTTCCGTTTCACGCATAGATCGCATCGACAGCAGCGCATCATATGAGCGTATTGGCTCGTTCCGTTTTTATCATTACTCTTAATGCGCATAGAAAAACAGAACGGACCTATGCGATCTTTGGACTGTTTGTAAACAGACATGGCGGATAAGAAGTTACTCGTTGTTGTGTCTTCTATTATCTGCAGCCAGATTGACGAAGAAGATTATGACGAAATTTCTTCATCATCCAGCAGTGATTCCAATGACAATAAAGATGATTTTAATGACGAGGAAATTGACATGCGTACCTTATATGTCATGTTAATGGCGAATAAGACGCGCGGTCAAACTCGTCAAGTCGAAAAAGTAAACGATTATGTGGAACGAGTTATTCCAGGATATTCAAAAATAACTTTTAAGGAACATTTTAGGTTTGTACAAATGTATTTCTCGTCAATGATTAATAAATGCAGGTCTGTCATATATTTCATTTCATGTAGTATGTAGAATGTTTCCAGAGACATTTCAAATAATTCTGAGGCTTTTGAGGGCACCTTTGAATGCCACAAATGCTCGTGGAAGGAAACAAATATCTGCAGAAAAACAACTTTTAATAACATTATGGTACATGGCTACTCCAGATTCATCGGTATGTATTTGAAACTATTGAAAGAAACAGCATAATATTGCAACTATAATCATATCATTCTGTATACAGATCTGTGTGCGTCAAGTTTGGTGTGGGAAAGGCCACTGCATTGCGCGCTGTGAGACAGGTAACTCATATTCTCCATTGTCTAGCACCACATTTTATTAAATGGCCAAGAGAAGAAGAGGCTATCGATACCATGGAAGCATTTAAAAAAGTAAAAGGTTTTCCAGGCGTTATTGGGGCTATTGATGGCTCATTTATACAGATACATAGTCCTCAAAAAGATGCAGCTTCTTATGTCTGTAGAAAAAATTATCTCGCTATTAATCTACAAGTTGTGTGTAATGCTCGAAGATTATTTACTCATTGCTATGCTGGGCATGCAGGATCTGTGCATGATGCACGAGTTTTTAGAAACTCTCCTCTAGCTGACTTTATCCAACGGCCACATAATTATTTTCCCTTCGATTCTCATCTTTTAGGAGATGCAGCATATTCAATTCATCCACATGTCATAGTGCCATTTAGAGATAACGGACATCTCATTGCAAGACAAAAAAACTTTACTTATTGCTTATCATCTACTCGCATGGCCATTGGAAGAGCTTTTGAACTTTTGAAAATGAGATTTCGAGTTTTACTTGACTGTCTGCCTCTTACTAATATGACCAAGATACCACAATTTATTATTGCATGCTGTGTAATGCACAATATTTGCATATTACAAAATGACAATATTGATATTATTGTTTGTCCTAACAATGTTGAGAATATTGCCACTGGTGTTATAGTAGCAGGGGCAGATTTAGGCAACCAAAAAAGAATAAGAATCATGAATGAATTGACAATGAGATTTATAAATGAAAACAATTAGATGTTTCTTTGACTTTGGACAGGTGGTTTGAGACCTTTATTAAAATGATTTTAATTTAATTTATATTAAAAATTTATTGATGTTTACAATATAAGATAAAAATGAAATAACTTCCACATATTCTAGTGTATTTCATGTATTTTAATTATAACAATTGATCAATGTGTTAAAAACAATTCTTTTTTGCTCATGTGTTACTGAAAAAAGGAAATAAATATATCTGAAATAAGTGTTGGTTATTTATTACACATATATGGGATATTTTACAACATATAAACAGTAAAAAAAGTAACATTGGATACAAACATAACAGTTCTTACTCTTAATTTTCCTAATACAATAATCAAAAAGCATCTCATCAGTCGAGTTCAAACTAAAATTAAGTATGCAGTCATTATTCTTAATTTTCTGATGCAATAATAAACTTAAAAGGAGTCTCATAATTCCAATTTAAATGAAAATTGAATATCACGTTGGAAGTAATATAAAAAATATGCTAAATATGTTATTAAATTTATTTTTCTTATATTCTCTAAAGCATCTAACTGTATAAAATAAGAACAAGTTTAATCTAATCAGTCGAGCTCAAATTAAAAATAAGTATGCGATCATTATTCTTAATTTTTTAATGCAACAATAAACTTAAAAGGGGTCTCATAATTCCAATTTAAACGAAAATTAAATATGCAATCATTTAAATAAAAGAGTCAATATATATCAAACAGCGTTAAACTTATATCAGATATACAGATATCATCGTTAAAGCTTTTCCATATGAATTTAAGCATATATCAAAATACATTTTCCACATATGTGCATGCAGAATATGTAAATGTGTTGGTATATGCATAATTCATATGGACGCTAACTATACCTACAAAAACAAAATAAAATATCAAATCTTGACTAGTTATGCACTTTATGCATAGAATGACAATACTGTTTGAAATATTCCTAAAGAGGTTTATCCTGTAATTTTTAATGATGTTATGTATCACTGCACAGATTTTTTGCAGTAGCTGTGCAATTATATATAACATCGTTATAAGTTATAGAATAGGCCTCTATTTTTGTTCTGCTATTTTAGCAAGTAGTTTAAGCAGGGACTGGTGGAACTCCATTCTACTTTTTCGTGTTTCACTGTTCTGCTTCCACTTATTTTCCTTTTCTTCTCTTCTTTCATCTCTCCTCCGTTGTTTTTCCTCCTTCTTCTTCTGTTTATCTTCTTTCATTTCTGCAATGAACGATTCTAAAATTGATTCCACCCGCCTTTTTTTTGGTTTCGGCTCATCTGCTTCTAACGACTTATCTGAGGAGGATGAAGAGCACCCTGGACTAGATGGACCATCACTGCTAGCTATTGATGCAGGTTCTATCCAGGTTTTTTTTCCAAGTATTGAATCCATAACAGAGTAAAAGGCCCAAGAACTTGCATGATTATCTGATTTATTGTTGCTATCAGATATATTTTTGTATGTTCTTTTCAATCCTGACATTTTATTTTGACATTGTATAGCAGTGACATTATACTTTGCTTTATTCATTTCACTGGCAATATCCATCCATATTTTATTATGACGTATCAGCCCTGATACAAAATCAGACTTTTTGTTTCGGTAAATCTCCAAAAGCAAAAGAATTGCCTTATCAGGCCAAATGAAAGAATCCTTCTTAGCTTCGTTTGCTTCAGATATAGGCTGTCTTGATTTATCAGCTTGTTCTTCGTCAATTACTGCTATGCTTTTTTTTTCACTTTCTTTAGCCACCAAAAACTTGATTAGTTCCTCATCTGTCAAAGTAAAATAAGACTTTAATTGCTTAGAGCATCCTAGAAAGTGAGTGTTATTCCACAAAATAATATTTCGATTCAAATTCAGTATGCTAAATATATATATATATATACATATATATATTCTATATATGTATATATATATATATATTCTAAATATCTGCCTGTTTATATATATGAGGCAAATGAAATTGGCCTCATATATAAACAAAAACACAATCCCTATGGAATTAATATCACGCTGCTGTTTTTTAACTTTTCTGAACCCATCCTATTTTCTATGACACACAGACTACAGTTTGTGAGATTGTAATTTTTACGCAATAGAAATATAATATGAAGTTCTTTTTGCATGAACTTTCATTTTTAGTTTCATTTTTAAGTTCGTGATATCTGTTAATAAAAAAGCAGAAAAAATAGTAAATAACATTAATCTTTATGTGTACAATTTCGGAAAATAGATCGGTTTTGGAAAAAAAATCTGTTTTGTGTTTTAGTTGGTCTGAGGGACCATAGAGTGAATTCAGCAAAGTTAAAAAACGATAAAGTTTAAGATTATAAAAAAAATTTCTCTAGAATTTCTAAGATATTAACTTACTGCCAGTTGTTGCTGCTTCGAATTCAGCGTTGGAGATGTTAAATGTCCATAATTCATCATTGACATAAACTTCTAATTTTTTTCCGCTCATCTTTACAGAATTATAAAATAAATCAAGTGTGCATAAACTCTTACAAACTTCTGATGATAATCTTTCTCGCCTAAGTGGCTATCGCGCATGGATTGCATCTCCTCGGGAGCTGAGGCAGTTCATGCGTTCTCATGCGCTACACACTATAGCGCGGCATGGTGGTGCGGGACTATCTTCATGCGCGCATGAAGTATACATGGAGTGAAACGGAACGACTTCTATGCTCTCCATGCGTATCATGCGTGAAACGGAACGCAGCCTAGGGGTTTATTGGGTGCATTCAGTCAGAGAGAAGCCTGGTTACACGACATTTTCCCGAAAAGTAGAGGGGATAACGTTGGCATCAACGAAAACCTCTAGGCAACCTAATTTCAATTTCCGTCGATTAGTAACACTGTTCAAGTAGTAGTCTGCCAGTTTGTTGAATCTTTTTAATAGATGTGCGCGCGTGTTTATAATAAATATTTACGATCGTAATATTTTATAAATGTAAGTATAATATATATATATATATATATTACGACATTTATTTAAAATAAAATTAAGTAAAAATATTACAAATAAGAGAAAACGTAAAATTTATTAATATGAACGTAATGAAAAACAATGATATTATACGTATAAGTGGATTAATTATTATATGCAATTAAACAATTTGAGTTCTTCAATGTTTTAACGTATCTTGATAAATATTACTTATAGTTGTGGCATCGTGTTCTTCGCATTTCTGTCGTCAATAACGGAATGAAGCCTATACAAGATGAAAGGAGCATTAATAATGGAAGAAGTAAATGGAAAATAGACAAATATATATCAGATAAGTAGCAAATATTCTCATGAAAGAAAAGATTATGTATGTATGTGCTATCTGTAATTGTAGATGTTGTTGGATTGATTCTTTTCTTTGATTAATTGTTTTGTTTCAGCTTTCCAGCTAACCAGGAGTACTTGCAGAATGTCAATAGCCAGAGGAACAACAAAGAAAATTAAAAAAAGAATAAGAAATTTATTAAATAATCTCTTTTTCCAACTAATTCAGATAATGAATGTAATATTAATAAAATATTAAAATTTTAGATATCTTGGATTTTATTCCAAATTTTTTGGATTTCAACTTCTTTCTGCTTGAAGGTATCATACTCCGATTTCGATAAGAATTGTGGATGTCTCATAGAAGTTCATAGAGATTTATTAGCTTTATAGAGCTTTATCAGATCTAATGTTTACAAAATTTATTACCTTTCTTAACACGTCTAATATAATATATACACATCTAATATAATACATAATTTTTGGCATTATGTTCTTCCATTATTGTGTACAGAGTTGGATATATTAGAACTTTGAGCACAATTAAATTTACTCATATATTTACATAGAATGTAAAGATATTCTGCAATTAAATGAACTAATTACTAATAATGAATGAAATGATAAATTATTTTATTCATTCTATCATGTCTCATTGTAATTTTTTATAATTGATATTTGTGGTTGGAGTACTGTCACAAACATTCATCAGGAAAAATAGTTAATTTTTCATTAATTATATCTGTAATTGATTGTTACTTTTATCAATAAGAACAGCTTTTATGTTGTTATTTATAATCATATAATCAACAATATAAGAGTTTGTTGCATCCATTAATATTTCCTACCATGTTTTTTTCTTATAAGTAATCATGTAAATCATATTAAGAATTTTTGAAATCTGTTTAATATTTTTTTCTTTAACGTTTAATAGATTGTTCAGTATTAGAATACTTGTCAAGTCCAGTAAATATTTGTGTTTATGTGTAAATATACTAATTACAAATTATAAATTATATTATATATTATAAATTATAATATATATATTATAATATATATATATAATATATATATTATAAATTATAATTATATTACAAATTATAAATAGCAGATTGTCTTCATCACAACATTTTTTTTCATCGTTTCTTACTAATCGTTTCTTTAAAACTCTCTTTTATGATTTTTATTTTAAATTTCTGTGATGCGGTGAAGAAGTCTGTAATATTTTTCAACTTTTTCGAAATCAAATATTGCGCTTCATTATGATTTTGTTTTTCCCGATTGTCACTTTTTCCGATTGTCTTTTTGCACTCTTACAGTGGTATTATGGTGAATGCCATTGTTTATTGCACTGTTATTATCTTATATTATATTTCGAGATGACAGAAAAAAAGAAGTGCAATACTGAGTGCAATAAAAGAATACAACATCCAAAATTAGAATACGAGGGATATCATTTCCATTATAATAAATCCTATAGGGATATAATGTAAGCAGATTTCTTAAGCTAAAGCTAAGACTCCATGCATGCGGTGAGCTCCGGCAAACGGCTGCGGTGACCAATCAGGAGACAGACGCATGCCGGAGCTTGCCGCAACCGGACTTGCGCCTCCCTCCTGATTGGTCACCGCAGCATTTGCCGCAGCTCACCGCATGCATGGAGTCTTAGCTTTAAACAGAATAAAATTAATTCATTAAATTATTATGCCATAAAAAATCTGATTTATGAATAGAAAAACAGCTTATAATTTAATAATTGTTTAATCGTATATACTATCTTCTTTTGAATCACAGTTATTAATTTTTGAGAATCTATCTAATTTTTATTTAATTCATTATATAGTTTTATAAAAATTATTCAGAAGATAATTTTTTATTAATTTACGTAATCAGCACAGAAGCGTATCAGTATTTGATGTATTGATGTATTTAATTATGAATAATTTGATGTATTTATGTATTAGATTTATTTCATATATTTGATGTATTTAATTATGAATAATTTTTTCATAGATATTATGAATGTAGTTTTCATAAAAATAAAGTGCATTGTAAAGCAAAATTAAAAATTGTAAGTGGTAATTATATTGTTAGTGGAAAACATGAGCAGGAAAAACCTATATTTCAATTATGTGAGATTAGTAAAGAAATTGAAGCATCATGTGTATTCGAATCATCTAGATTAATAAAGAAAAGAATTATTTCGAAGTGAGTATAAAACAATAAAATAGAAAACAACAAATAAATGTTATTAATGAAGATGAGTACTTATTATTTATAATTGTAATTTTTATATTTGTAATTGTAATTATAATTTGTTTATTTATATCTAGATAAGACCATTTATTAGATTTGACAAAAATTGGTAATTTAGAAAAATCAATTGAAAGACATAAAAAAAAATGTATTCGAAATATTCCAAAAAATCTAAATGATTTAACATATTGTTTAAATAAAGAAAATTGGAAAGAATTATTAAAAATAGAAACTGATTTTTTTATTGTTGATTTTGTAATGAAAGGAAAAAATACCAAAGCGATTATTTTCATTGATAAGGTTTTAGTGCAGTCAGTTATGTCAATAATTAATGACAAATTAACCATTTTTGTGGATGGAACATTTAAGACAGTTCCTCAAATTCAAGAAAATAATTGTCAATTGTGAACAATTATAATTAGATATGATAATAAGGTAAGCAAACAATTAATTTATTTCTTCATTTAATAATTAGTTGATTTTCCTGCAAAATCATTCTATGTAAATAAATGAGTAAATTAAATTGTTCTTAAATTTCAGACATTTCCAATTGTTTACACTATAATGGAAGGACGCATTTTTGATGATTATTTAAATGTTTTACAGAAAGTCACCCACGTAATTAAATTAGCACCAGAAATTATATCAGATTTTGAAAAAGCCGAGCAAAAGGCATTACAAACGATTTTTCCCAGAGCTAAAGTCATTGGCTGCTTCTTTCATTATAGTCAGGTAATAAAAGATAACTATATACAAAACAATAAACATGAAATACATGTCAATTTTCCTTATACCACTTTCTTATTACAGGCCTTAATACATAATGCTAAGAAGCACAACATCCTAAAAGGTGACAAAAAGGAATCAGGTTGGGGCGCATTAAAACTATTGATATTGTAAGATTTAAAAAGAGAGATCCTCTATTTCTCTATTCTATTATCTTTCTGTCTCTCCTCTTCTTGATCCTCTTCCTTTATAAGAGAGGGATGTTCAGGATGTTTAGGTTCCGAGCGATTAATGTGAACTCTTCTTATTATGAACAAGAATATAAGTATGTATATTTTAAATAAACAATAATACAATAGTAACCGACACCGCAGCTTATATTAAATATATCTCTTTACAAAAGCTTAACGCTCTACGACTCTTCCTTCGACTTGACTCTAATTTCTATTATTCGTCTCGACATTAATCGGCAAAAGGCTAAAGCTAAAAAGCCAAAGGCAAAAAGCCCCGTCTTTCTCTGTGCGTCTCCTTTTACCCTCTTCTCCATCCGACGAGTCTGATCTCCTAGGACCGGTCTTTCTCCCGTGGCTCCTCCCGGAATAGACTGGTGCTGTCCTCCCTCGTCTGTATCTTACAATATCTTTGGCTTTTTGCCGGAAGATTTAATAGAAGGAGCCTTCGAAATTATTTATAAAATAATATTTAATGATTGCAAATATCTTCGATCACTTTTTCATTATTATAGAGAGTTAAATGGCTTCAAACCTCGTTCATTTTGTGTTTTTCAACAGTTACACAGAACGAACAATATTTCTGACAGGCACAACCAAGAATTACAAGAAAGCCTAAAGAAACATTCAAAAATAGTTGAATTTTTAGATATATTGTAAATGCTCTATTGTAAACAGTTTTTTCATTATTTTTACTGTTCTTATAATTTAATATTATTTATTGCTAATCTAATTGAACACCAAAAAGACATTCGAAGTAAACTGAAATATCCAAACTTCTGGGCGAGATTAGAGTATTATTTTTAAAACAGAGGGAAAATGAAATTCAAACAATTTGGAATAAAATCCAAGATACTAAAAATTTAGATATTTTATTAATATTATATTCATTATCTGAATTAGTTGAAAAAAAAAAGATTATTTAATAAATACTTTAATATACTTCTTATTCTTCTTTTAATTTTCCTTATTGTTCCTCTGGCTATCGACATTTTACAAGCACTCCTGGTTAGCTGGGAAGCTGGAACAAAAAAATTAATCAAAGAAAAGAATCAATCCAACAACATCTACAATTACAGATAGCACATACATACATAATCTTTTCATGAGAATATTTGCTACTTATCTGATATATATT